TTGGTCAAGTGGTCAAAAAATGCATGAACAGTTGCAAAATACACCCAAGAATTTTTCACATGTAAGAAAATATAAAACATTGAGCTTTATTTTTTCCTTTTATAATAGATATGCATTATATAAATATTAATCTACAAATTTATTTTATTAGCAATAAGAGTAACCAACTAGGTTWACTTTCCCGCCAGAAAAGATACTGAACTTGAAAATCAAAGTATTATTTCGACTACTATTATCGTTAATATAGAATTAAAAAGAAAAGAAAACCCCACATCGTGGTAAGACCAATATAGCATTCATCGCTCCGCTCTAAATCTAAAATAAAAATTGGAAAAATTCTGTGATATAGAACAACCAATATAATTGGTTGCATTTTTTTGTTTTATTTGTGTGACAAACAAAATGGAAGTTGGTAACTGCAATATTTTTTTTTTAACAAAACCCTTTATTGTAAGTGGATATGTGGTAATATAATATTACCTTGCGTGTGAATGCTAAACGTAGGTTGACTGAATAGTGAATTAGTGAATACCTAAAATTAGTGAATATTCTAACTATAATTTTATAGATTGCGTGCTAAAACTTTTTTTAGTGTAAATATATTTTTGAGCTGATACACGATAAAATGTTTCTGGCTGATTTTACGTACAGCTTATGCTGTCATAACTCATAGTTATACTTATACTAGCTATGTTTTTTTTATAAGACGAACGCAAAAGAGTGTAGACGATACACTATTGTAACCAATGAGCCAAAATACAGGAAARTATATTATATGTGGGTCATGGTTGTTTTAATAGCAGTTAAAAAATRTTTAAGATACATTATACATAAGAAAGATKTTTAATAAGCATTCTAAATTTTCAAAAATCATAAAAATCACGAAAATTTACAATTTATTTCGTAGTTAACAAATTATAAAATATCCAATTTTTATAGCTAAGGATTGAAAATTTAAAAATTAAAAATATTATATTATAATAATTAATTATTATGATCATACAAAATTTAAACAAGTTATCTCATAAGTAGTTCATACTCTGATCAAAAAATATATAGGTAGGTAAATATGGTTTTTTAGATTCTGAGCGGAGCGATGAATGTATTGATTTTACCATGATGTGTGTGTTTTTTTTTTTTGTGTCTGTCATCACGTTTTGGTATTATGAATTATGATAACTACATGCAATGTTTTTGGAAAAATTGATTAACCATGCCTTATGCAAAATGCGTCTTAACTGAAAAATAAAATATTTGTTTCAAAATAGAATAGGTATATGACAATATTTAAATTTTAAATATAATATATCCTAGACTGACAAATCATCTCCGTTCAGAATCGTTTTTGGTATACAATGATACCTATCATTGCATTCAAACCTAACCTACCCTAGTCAGAGACTCAGAGGTTCACCCCACCACCTAATGTACAGCAGAGCGATACCCATTTTACAGCTTTTTTTTGTGTCTGTCATCACGTTTTGGGGCAGTAAAAGTGCTTCGATTTTTGACTTCAGTACCTCGTTCGATCAGAAAGTGAATCTAGTTAGTACTTTGGGGGTCGAAAGTAAAAAATTCTTAATATTTTTTTTAAATAATCGGGATAAACAAACTAAAAATTAAGGGGAAAACGGGCTAAAATATTACTGAGTTGAATTTCCATGGTTATATTTAGKGTGCTTGTCACATAATCGATGAATTCTAATAAATTCCTGCACACGTTTTGAAGACGCAGACGATACTTAGAAATTGGTTACCTATTGTAAATTGTCCTGTAAGGACACCTACAATCTTCTAGTAAGTACTGTTATAGTCTCTATTATAATTTAGATGCCTCTGAAAAAGTTACATTAACCCCATAACTATACAYACGTAATTATATATATTCTATTTAATCGATTGTATTATAATTAGTACAAAGTGACGTGGTGTTATTTTTAATCATACTATCGGTGAGATTTCATCGTTAAAATTCTGATCGTGAGTTATAGTATTATATTATTATTATTATTTTTTTTTTTATTAAGGCATTCCTAGCTAGAATATCTATCTAAGCCTAAATATTATATTATAATTATATAAAAATGTCCTTACTTTTCCATCCAATCTAATAATTCTTTTACCAGTTGCTGTCCCGTGTTCAAATTCTATTTCATGAATACCGTCTGCTARTGGTAGTTTCCACACTGCTACCGTGTCTTCGTTATACTTTGTTTTCTCTGTCATTAGTCAATAATCAAACGAACTCGCAATCTTAAAGTGTTCAGCGTTCAGTTATCATACCAACGTAAATTAACTGGTAATAGTACAACATTCAACGTTATAATATGAATATTATAATCGTGCATGCATTGATTACTTATACCATTTTATATTTGAGTGTTTATAAAATGTTGTTATGGAAACAACCATTTTTTTTTTTCGTAAGGTCACTGTAAATAATAATTTAATACCATGGTATATTTTTTATAGAAATTAAAAGTTTTTTTTTTCATAACATTAGATACCTCGCTGTACTATACACAACCGTCTTCAATAAAAAAAAATATAATATTATGTATTCATTAATAAAATACAATTTAAAATATAGTCTTATACTATGTCTACTTAATTACTAGACTCAGTAGCAGTAAGGAAATATTGTTACATACATTTCAGTAATAAATAGTTTTTAAAAACTGCGTATTCAAAATATACAGGGCGATCCATTTAAGTGGGTACACTAATTATCTCGAAAAGTATTAACTTAAAAAAAAAAAAATTTTTTTAACTTCTATGTTCATATTTTTCTAAAATCATATAATATTTTAATTTTATTCACCCTTATGGGTGGTGAAATCACTATCAACTTTTGATTTTCAAATGGTAAATGGTAACATATATAGTAAACAAAAGCGGGTAATGGATGTCGCTCTGCTGTACATTAGGTGGGGGGGGGTGGACCTCTGACTAGGGTAGGTTAGATTTGAATGCAATGATAGGTATCATTGTATACGAAAAACGATTCTGAACGGAAATAATTTGTCAGTCTAGGATATATTATATTTAAATATTGTCATATATTCTATTTTGAAACAAATATTTTATTTTTCAATTAGGACACATTTTGCATAAGGCATGGTTAATCAATTTTTCCAAAAACATTGCATGTAGTAAAGTTATCATAATTCATAATACCTTATACTCGTATTATCATAGATATACATATAACCTGATTTCATAAAAAT